GCCTTTAACTGTTTAATTATAAAAATATGAAAGAAAATTTTTTCGATCGCCTACTCCAAGTATTGATATTCGTCTAGAAATGTTCATTCCATAAATTTAAAAAGAAACTTACTCACATGGCAATCCACGCAATTAAGAAAATTTTATACATCTTGCAAGTTTCTTTGCAAAATTACTAAATAATGTTCTATTAATGACGAAATTGTGAAATTCATTATCTCGTTTCATAGTATACAAACACGATATCTGGTAATGGTGGTAAACGAGCCAATTTATCTCTAAAAGTGCCAATCCACTCTCGTTCGACGATGTTCTTTCTTCATTCGGTCCGCAGCGGAGGAATTCGCGAACTCAGTGCAATAGGTGCGGCCATAGGTGTAACATATTTATGTTGTGAACCGGCCGAGTGCGAGCAATAAATAGCGGAGGCGTGGGAAGGGTGAAAGAGAGAGAGAGAGAGAGAGACAAAACGCATGTAGGGGGGCAGTTCGTTGAGGCGCGCGGGGCCAGAGCGATTACGTTTCCCAAACCCCTCGCTCTCTCGCGCGACCGAGTCACCGGCACCACCATCCACCACCGTTTTGCTCCCTACAACCCCCGCGCGAATCTCCAGCCCCGCCCGCCCTTGCCCGTCTCCTCGCGCGCGCGTCTCGTCCCACCGGACCCTTTACAGCGCCCGAACAACCCTATTCGTTTGTTTCCAGCCCGTATGTGCACATACACGGAGGTATGCAATTTCGGTGTCGGGAATGCGCGCTACCGGACGAACGACCGATGTATAGTGTATCAATGTTAGAGCTCTTACAAAAGAAAGAAAAGATAGTTACCCCTTCGAAATATCGGTAAGACATAAAACTGAGGATCCGGCTGAAAGAATGCTTCGAAATGTGCTTAAAGATTATACCTTTACAGAAAGCGAATACTGGTAAACTTTAACCCTTCGTAAGTACACATATATTTATTTCATAGACGCTCTGGATCTTTTTTGTTCAGCCAAAATTGTTTTACTAAGTATTCTGGGCTTTCAAAAAACCTAGAAAAATTCAGGATTGCTTTTCAACATCTCTGGCAAATAATTCTTCATTGCCAAATAGTTCCTTAACTCAAATGTTAAAACCTTTATTTAATAAACAAGAGTGAAATTTGAATTTTGAGAATGAAATTTCGCCTGCAATGGATAAAGAAAGATGTATCTACGAAGGGTTAATACCTACTGACCTATTTATTACTGAAAGATAGTAATTAATTACTTATTTGAAGTACTAAAAGCACAGGGCAGTGTTTTTAATACTTAAAATAAATAATTATTATTTTTCAGTACCTATATATTGAATTGGTATTTAATACCTATTAAACCAATATTAGATTTCTGTAAAGATAGTTGATGTAAACGACGATATTACTCTCTATTATAAATATTAGATGTCATAAATATCCTATTAAAGTTAAATAAGTAAAAATTTAATAAAAGTTAAGTTGTGCGATTCAGATCATAAGATTCATTTAATGCTACGCGAGTTATTATATATACACATTTCGTGTTATTTCAAAGATTTTGAATTTTGTACAAGCACAGACAATGTAGGATGTAGGATCCCAAATCTAAACTGTTTATTCACAAATTTCTTGGTCACCAACAATTATCTATCCTTTAACAAATATTAGGACTGTAATTGGAGTTATAAGCTATTAATGATATTTTCTTCGCTGAAAAGAAAATAATGAAAATATTTTCACAAACATACTCCAGATATACGATAATGTCTTAAAAGCGGAGAACGAGATATTCGATACGAGTGCGCCAATACGGTATTTCGTATTAGCGCCCCTATTACTCTTCCGCTATTACGGTTACCAGGCGACGTAACGTTCTCCGATAACGAAGCACACGAGTGCATACGGGCAGACGCATACGAGCGGACATATCGGAACGCAGACTCGTGGATCCGAATCCGGGCGGCATGCTCAGGGCGCAGTTATGCTGAAAATCTTGACTGGAGGACCCTTTCGCATACCAGTCGCCCGGGCCAATCCGATCGAGGATGCATCCGTAGGCACGCCGATCGGAGACGCGCTAGTCGGCCAGTCGGGTAACCAAATGATGCATATCTCTCCTCGATCCGTCGTGTCCCGAATGTCTCGACATGTTGCACGCTCCACGTTCGCAGGAACGAGGGGAGGATTGTCTATGGTGGGTGGGCGGACTAGCTCGAAAGCCGTGGGTGAGGAGGACCAGCTCGGGGAGGCCCGAGCGTATGGTTGCGATGAGGTCGAGAGCTTGCGGCCGGATGCCAGTCTGACCATGTCTCTACCGGCGCGTTACTTGCGAGCTCGTCAGCCTCTCGCTCCTAGACGTATCCTCGCCAGAATCCGAGCAATGCGGCTCAAGAGTCCGCGCCGGCGCTGCAGCTGCACTCTAGGATGCAGCTCTCGGCTAGCTTGGCGGCTATACCGGGCGCGATCCTCGACGGGGATTGGCCGGTCGGATATCATCGAGACGGGGCATTGGGGTGGTCTTCAGTGGCTGCCGGTATGCGTGGTAATAGGAGGATCTTCGCCGCGATATCGGAGGAAAATTGCGAGCCATCGTAGATGGAAACAATAACGCGAGAGTGTCTTATTTATAACTCTAGGTTTTTTTTTATTTTTCTTTTTCATTCAATATCATATATTCTCCTCTCCTTTGTCTCTCAATAATGTCTTGTCAATAATATTTAATATAAGACAAAATATAAAAATGCATTCCATATATATTAAGTATGTATTTAAAATAAATATGAAATTACAGAAAAGGAGATTTATATTTATATATAGAAATGTTGATTTTATTAAATAATTTTCGCATTTGGCGGTCTAAAATCTGGTCAACGACGCTTTAAAATTCAATGTTATACATCAAATTCGTTGTTATAATTGTGAAATTTGCATTGCCCGCTGTGCATTACATTAATAATTGGGTCGACTCTGTTTAAGCTTTTAATCAAGTACTGACAAAATGCGCGCGTTGTGCGTCGATCGCGCAGTATTCCCTCTCGCTCAGTGTGTGACGGAGGCGCGTCGAATGCGGCTTTTGCAAATGAATTTTTCGGGGCACGCCATCGTTCCGCGTTGATACGTTTGCATCGCGGTGATTTCGCAGGGCACCGAGCTATATAACGCGCGAGGGGCCGCGGGTAACGAAATTCCCCCGATGCGTGCATCTCACGCATTCCGCAGCGAGATTGCGCAAAAATCGGGCGAAACAAACGCAACTAATTTAACTGCTTTCGAACAATTAATCCGAAGCATTTAATTTAATTGCGCCGCAGCCCGTCGAGTCCGGCCAACAGCCAGTCGGAACAACGACCGGCGCAAAACCCGGGACGGAATTTTCGGCTCGACGCGATGGCTCGAATTCTTTGGCGCGTGTAAAACAAAATAAAAACATTTGACAGTTGAAAGTTGACCCGGAGAAAGGCGTGCTTGTTGCAATATCGATATTTGAGATTTGATACGATCTATTTGATAAAAATGTCTCATGGAACATTTGAATGGCCGTATAAATACTTTTTCCCTTTATTCGTATTTTATAAATAAATATCAATTTAATTTTTTCTTTTTATAGATTATATAACGATGTATCATATTTATCTACTAAAATGTCAAAAGAACTTTTTTTCGCAATTTCCAAATTAAATTGAATGTTTTAATAAGTCTCAAGTGAAAATTTCATACAAGTGGTACACTACAGAAAAATTTGTTACATTTTTTGCTCGTCAATTTTTAACTTGTAATATTACTTTAATTTTAACTTAGAA